AGAAGAGAGACTAGTCAGCCTCCACAGTCCAATGAGGAACCTGGAGCCTAAGGAAGAGACTCAGCAGTGGGTGTGCAGAAAGGCTGAGATGCTTTGCCTTAGATATTCTGGCTCCCTGAAATCTCTGTTGACAGAAGTTTGAAGTCATAACTTCATGAGCAAATATCTCTTTGCACTATTTTTGGTTTGGCTCACTTTTAGATTGGGTATACCCAACATAAGAAAGGGTGTGAACATGACCAGGACTATCTATGGATTGTAAAACAGGAATCTTTAGCATGAAATCTATGGAAGTATGGATTGAATTCAACAAATACATCAAAAGTGATGTGTAGGCCTAAAACATCTAGGCTCTTCCCTAGGCATGAGGCAGATACAACCATAAACAGCTCTAATAAATAGCAGCAGTACTGGGGACATCAGTAAAGTCTACAGAATCTGAGGTCATGGCATTGAGATACTTCAGCCTGGTATGAATGGAGCATGTTTGCGTGTGTGTGTGTGTGGGGGGGGGTCAATGTTGTCAATGTTAACCCTGGACAAATAGGAAAGAACCAACTCAGGCATTTAGACTTTCTCTGTTTCTAGGGAGCCATTACAGGCTTCCAGGCAGAAGGTGACATGGTGAGAGCTGCGTTTCCGAGGGTAACACTAAGGGACATGGCTAGGATGGGAACTGAAAGCAGACAGAGGAAGCAGCCTGAGAAACCGTGAACGCAGCCTCGATGAGCCTCAATTAGGGGGTGGCGGTTCCCCCTCGCTGGGGGCAGAAGAGGCGGTGGATTCTCACGCTGTCTGAGAGGGGACTTGTCCAGTTGGAAGAGGACAGTGAGGGAGAAGGGGAGAGTAACTCTTACGTTTCTTGCCTGAATAACTGAGAGGAGGAAATAGGCTTACAAAGAAAACATTTGCCGTACAGGGCTAGTTTACACAGTTACAAGAATTAATTAACTAAAAAGTTAAGGATCAGATCTGTGTCTCATTGGGAAAACTGTAGACAAAACAATCTAGACAACAAATTTTTACTTTCCAGTACATCGTGTGGGCATCCGCTAGCCACAAACCAAAACATGCTCATCTACAACAGCTAATCGGTCCTCTGATGCGCTCTCAGCTGATAGGTCCGGCTTGAGTGCTCATTGACGATTGCTAATTTTTCCCACACTTGTAGTATATAAGAAGGGACAGAAAATGATGGCAGTTATTTTAAAGGTAAGATAGGCCACGGGTATTTTTTCCAGGGCAAATAATATTTTGAAGGACTAACTAATAAAGTCACAGTAAGAATGGACTTAGTCTCTTGTCCATGCTATTTGCTTTTCCACTTGCTTTTAGTATTAAATTTCTAATGCATTATGTACTTGTGTGTCAACTGTGTATTAATTTTTAAAATAATGCTATTTTCACCCCGGAAGGATCAATTCTGTGTTTCAAACAAAATCAAATCTTATTGGAATAAGTAGAGTTTTTTTTCTGGTCAAATTAAATTCTTACATATATATATTTTTTTGAGCATGATACTAAAACTAACCCTGGAATTTATTCTCTGTAAATAGAACTCTCTTAGGAGTTAGAGGGGTTTAGCTCATTAAAATATGTTATAAACAAATGGTAATGTGGCCACATCTTCTCCTCTTAAATTTGAATTTTACTTCTGTCATGAGTCTATATCACTGGGGATTTCAGTCTGTAATAGAGAAGAAACAGGGTTGTAATGTGTGAAAACACATTTTTCTAAATCTCATTCACTAAAAGAACCACTTTCTATCACTAAAAGCAAGTTAGAATGCATAATCATTCTCACTGGTTATATTTCAAAACTGGCCCTATGGAAACATGAATAAAATTGTATTTACTTGAGAAAGGATTTTTGTGTGTGTGCATGTGTGTTATTGTTTAAAACCGTGAGATTAAAAAAAATGTTTTGTATACCTAATCTGATGAATTTTTATTGGATAACTTTATTCTTTGTCTTTTCTCTACAGATTCTGGGTTTTTGTTTTCCTTGTTTTCCAACACAAACTGCCAGCCATGGCCTACCAGGATCTTTTCCCAAATACTACCTGTAACTTGAGGTATCGCATCTGTTTTCCTCAGTACCTCAGGCTGACATTTCAGAAAGTCTTTCTCATCATGCAGAAGGTCTGAAAAAGCATCTGGGGCCATAATGAAATTATCGGATTGTTAGGGTGGATGTTGGGAAGGGTGCATTTCTTTTCCCTTTCCAACAATGGTGTAAGAGACCAACTGCTTTTGTATATCAATCAAGCAGATTTAATTCTGAAGTTTATCTTTTTACAGGAGATGATGGGTCAGTTTGATAATCTGTGGTCACAAGTGTCTCAAGAATTAATTGCAAACCCCTAGCAATGGCTGGTGTGATCTAGGCCTGATCTATGGTGACCAAGTGCAGGCCCCTTGGTGTTCACATTCCAATGGGAGGTTGGCAACCCTTGCGGGGTTTTCAGGGCACTGGACGGCCCTGTCCCACAGAACTCCTTCTGACTGTGATGCGTGCATTCCCACAATTGTTTTGGTTGTGACCCCATTCGTACTTATTATTTATTTCCTCCCCAGGGGAAATAAGCTTATTTAGACCTTTCCTGAGGACAGGAGGATGCAGAGAATATTGGGCAGCAAGGACGGAGAACAAAGTCTTCCAGAACAGGGTCCTGGAGACTAGGGACAAACTTCGACCCCTAATAATTTTGCATAAGATCAGCCCTGGCCCAAATCTACCATGTTGAGGTTAGCCAATGTGAGTTAACTGAGGACGTACAGGGCAAGAATTACTCGTCCTTTTGTTATTTCTGAAACCTGAACTGCTTTTAGAAAATAAGGACTGGAATGTTCCATAGGAACTCAGAGCATGGGACACAGGGGCATGGCACACACTCGGTTGGGCTATTTAAAAACTAGTCCCTTGGCTTCCCTCTGTGATTCTAAATACGTGTAATCACATTACCCTGCAGCAGCCGGTAACTATTTCTATAACACTGTCCAGCATCTCTGCTTGCCGTGGCTGGGTCCACCCAACGAAAACAAAGTGGAGATGTTATAGCTGATGAGGCTGATCAATCCAGGCTTTCTTGTCAAAGTTAGTGTCCATCTAGTGTCAGAATATAAGGAGTTGTGTGACTGAGATTTCTTGAATTTTAAGGACTGATCTATTTTACTCTCCTAGGGGGAGGGAGGTGGTTTAGCACAATGTTATAGCTGATGAGGCTGATCAATCCAGGCTTTCTTGTCAAAGTTAGTGTCCATCTAGTGTCAGAATATAAGGAGTTGTGTGACTGAGACTTCTTGAATTTTAAGGACTGATCTATTTTACTCTCCTAGGGGGAGGGAGGTGGTTTAGCACATCAAAAGGATGCTTTCTAAATGAGCCATTTATTTATGAAACAAATGAGCAACATAAACACAATTTATCACTTTCTCACATACAGCAATTCTTATCCTATGTAAGGATCACAGAATTAGGGACTTTGCTCCTTTCTGTGCTAAAGAGACTATCTTTCTTGGATTTGTTTGATGTGATAACACTTCCCCTCATCATGCCACTAGCCATCAATCAAATAGATAAACTCTTTAGAAATAGTCTACTCAACTATTAGTCACTTGAAGACATTAGCCAGTGGAAGGATATTAGCCAACTTCATTACGTAATGTCAAAATACCCGATCAACTTTGTGAATTCAATGAAATAGTCAAACCAGTTTTGAGATTTCATACAGACAAAACAATAGATTGAGTGACATTTGGCTTAGCATAAAAGTTTAAAACCCTACCATTCATAAAAACATGTAACAACTTGCCATATCTTACACCAAGTGCTTTAAATCTTAAGTCTTATTTATCTCTGATAACAACCCTTTGAAGTGTGTGTTATCATCTCCATTTTACAGATAAGGAGACTGAGGCTCAGTGAGACTTAGTAATTTGCACAAGAATACATGTCTAGGTTCTATGAGTTGTGAGGTGAGATTCAAACATAGGCCTCTCCAATTTCAATTCCATGCCATTTGCCTATGTGTATATAACCTGAAACAGCTAAAATGGCCAAGTAAGGCAAGAAAAACCAAAACAAAACACGCAAAAAACTTGGGTCCTGAGTCATGCAGTTAAGATACCTAAAACTCAGCTGACTGACTATTGGCTAATTCTCCCTGCAACGTCTAGCTACAACCCAATTCTTTTGCCTGATACCTGAGTACTGGGAGATCTCTTGACCCCTATGTGATACTGCTCTAAGAATTAGAACTCCAATTGCCAAACATTACATATCAGAACAAATTATGCATGTTACATTATGCCTGTGAAGAGATCTAATTTCTTAACCAAATATTGTTTTAAAAAATATTTTCAGGCATAGACTGAATATGTGGTTCCCTTGTGGCCAACTCAAAACACATAGCAAAGAGTAATTCTTTGCACTATCCTACATTAATATTTTCTTTCCCTCCTTGTAAGGGGACTAGTTATAAATTGTATGAGATTAGAAAACAGTCTCTTGAGAATTGATATGTTAAGGAATTACCTAGAAAGAACCACATTTTTTTTTTTTCCCACATGGTAAATCATACCGAGTAGCAGCCTGCCCCGGATTCCCAGGAGACAACATCTTGAGCACATATGTTATGCTGGGTTCTGTATCGACTAATTCAAAAACTCCAAGGCAAAATAACCAAAGTTCTCAAGTTAAAAATGAAAGTAAAATAGTGGAGAAGATTTGGGATCATTGTTGCAACATTCCAACAACTTCATAAATAGCCATTGAAGTAGACAGCATTAGAGGTTAACAAATTTACCACTGCAAGAATCAACCTGCACTGCTGCTGTGAAGTCTCAAACAAACCTGTGCACCTCTCGCTTTACTGATATTCTCTTTCCTTTCAGAAACATATTCACATTTGACAAAATTAATATTGAGATAATTTTACTACAGGGCTTATCCAAATATATGCCATATTAAAAATAGTCATGATATAAATATTTCTCACAAGAGCTGCAGCGATGGTGTGAATAAAAAACTCCCTTCTGAGATTTCAGTAAAACCAGATCTCACAAAGGATCTGAAAGAAAACAAAAAACAAAAAACAAACAAACAGACACACAAAGAGACACACACACAGAACAAACCTTATGTTAATCCGGTTTAGCATAACAGTTCCTATTTTGACACTATTTTATAAAGTACCATACTGCTCCTTCCCAGATGGAGTAAGAGAGATGAATCTGCTACAGGTTTCTCATAATAATGTTCAGGGTTGGGGGGTATCCAAGCACGTTCAGAAGCAGCTAATAAAAATCAAAAATTCTAAATGCAGCAAAATGTTAGCACTGTCACATGGCCAAGCATGCAAGAGGAATCTCTCTCTCCATGCCCTTCTACCGGTACATACAAAGCCCCAAATACACGGCTGGAATTTTAAAATTGTAAATTAGATATCAAAATGCTTACGGGCCTTACAATGAGATAACATCAGGAGGAACGGTGCGTGGAATGGATCTGGCATTCTCACATAAAGCATTATCTTTGGTACAAGTACACACGGCAGGGCATTTTGGCTTCGCTGGTCTCTTCCCCTCAGTCAGCAAAAGCGCAGATAAGAGACATAGGAAATAAGCAATTCTTTTCAGGGGGATGCAGGCATTTCCCATCCTTTTGCTTCTCTCTGTTTCCATGCAGTCGAAAAAATATCCCCAAACATGAACAGGGCTTCTGGAATTCAGATGGTGATGGTCTTGCTCTAAGAACAGGTCACATAGGAGTCCACCCTTTTCTTCTGCCTCTGTATCTCTGCTTTTCAAAACAGGGACCTGCAGCTGATTCGTGAGCTGCTCCTTGCTCCAGCACTGCACGGCTCGGGGGAAGAGACCTGTGAGGTGCTGTGAGCTGGGAGGGATCCAACTGCTGGAGGAGAGAGCCGACTTGCATCACCACGAAAACACTGAGCACAGACCAGCCTTCGAAGGCAAAGTCAAGTGATGTAACAGAAAATAAACAGCTTTCTGCTTTCACTGGGAGGCCCTTTAATTGTTACCAAAAATAGACGGCATTATGTCTTATTAGTGGGTGGGTGGGCGAGTGGGTGGGAGCAGTCATTTTGCTTAGGATGTCGGCAATCTAAGAAACCTCTGGGAATTTGCTTTTCATGTAGCAAACAACCTAGTAAGGAAAACTAGCCTGGGAGCCAACCCGGGCTGGAAAAATGAAGTTAAAGGAAACTCTCTCGGCAGCATGCTGCTAATACCTTGCTATCTCTTGCTGAGTGCACCTGGCTGATGCCATCGTTGAAAGACAAATAAGAACACATGGAGAATGTGACTTTCAGGGGATGAACGTGAGTAAATACTTTTCTGACATTTATCAACTGTCATGAATTATTGATTTTCATAATCCCCTCCCCCCACGTGTAATCCATTCCCTTCTTCCACAATGAGAGAGGGAAAGAGAAGTGTAGGCCCCCTTCTCACTTCTCGCACTCTCCCTTCTCTGGCAGTGGCCGCAGAAGCCTGGAAGGAACTCCCTGCCAGCAGGAGACAGACTCTGGCTTCCCGGGGCTTTGAAAAAGGCCTGGCTCTGCCCAGGATGCTGCGAGATGGCGGGGAAACGCTGGACTGAGAACCGGAGACCTGGCTTGAGATCCCAGTTCTGCCCTGAACTAGTTGATTTTACAGACGGGAATAGCTGGATCTACAGACGTTCTGTAATTATTACAAAATTAAACGAATACGGCAGGCTATGTTACTGGTGTAATTGATGGGAAAGGAGATGCACCATCGGAAAAGAAAATGCATTTAAAGCAGCAGAAATTAAGAGGCCCTGGCCCTGGGGAGGGATGGTTTAGTCCAAGAGGGTGGGAAGACCCTCAGGATGGAGGAAGAGGAGGAAAACAGACCCCTTGATTGTCTTACCATGTTGAAGGAGATCGTCCTTCAAGTGGCACAGCCAGCCTGAGCTGTCAGTCCATGTCCCTTCTCCTCCAAGTTCCTGGATGGAAAGTACTAAGAGGACTGTTTGAGCAAATGCATGATTATGACATAACCTCATCCTACATCGGTGCATGATGCAGTGCCTGCCCTTCTACCCTGTCCTGCGTGCAGCTGGCCCCACGCTAACTGCCATCACTCCTTTAATTCCCTGTGAGCTCTGTGAGGGGAGGGGTCATGTCCATTCTCGCATTTGATTGTAAGCTCCATGAAGGCAGAGACCTTGCTGTGGACCTGGTGCCTGTACAGGGCTGCACACACAGTGGGCAACCAGTCAGACTATGTGAGCACAGCAGAGTGCCCAGTCTATTCATGGTAACCACATCCTCATCCAAATGCACCTCAAATTGCTCCTGAGTTACAATAAAGGGGTCTGACCTAGTCAGGGAAGTCTGGGACAATTCCCTTAGGAAGTCATGATTGAGCTGAGTTCCAAGACAAGGAAGAGTAAGAGGGGTTTGTGAGAGCGTTCCATGTGGAGGCAACAGCATGTGCTAAGGCCTGCTCACAATCTGGACTGCAACAGACACCTCTGCAGGGTTTTAGGCAGAGGAAGGATAGTGCCTGGTTTGTGTTTCAAAAGCACCAGTAGATTATTATCACTAAGCCAGTTTTTGAGAGTTTGTAAATATGTTGTATGTTACAGAAAGGAAAAAAACCCCACCAGTCCAAGAGAAGTAATGATTTAAAAATGAATTCTACTAATGCTTCACTGTCAAGGAATCTATGCAGGAGGGAGCATACGATGGTGTTTTTAGAAGCTGTGACCCACAGGCAAGCCTCACTTTAAACAGTAAAAGTGTCACTTAAAAGTTGGCTACAAGTCAGATTTTTGTAACTGAATCCTGCTTCAAGTGCACAGCGGAAACTTGCTCCATAAAATGATGATGTGGTGAAAATTTTATGGAGTGTCATTTTTATTCAAACAGTCACCCCTAAATTGTCTGACTTGTAAATGATGTATTTTGTAACTACAAAATAAAGACCCTGAGAACCTTCAGGGACCCCAGAGATCTTGGATCAAATCCCTGCATATTACAGATTGGAAAACTGAGGTTGGGAGAGGTCACACAGATGGTTAGTGGCAGAGCCGCCACCCAGCATAGGGTGACACTATGGCAGATACTTGGTGAAAGTGACTGATGAAGTCAAACAGCATAATTCAGTCCCTGTGTTTCACTCTCAAATGTACCAAATTGTCAAGACTGTTGGGTCAGCCTTTGGCTTTGTGCTATGTAGACACAGCCAAAGGGTGAGCAGTCGTTCACTGTTGTGGGGTAAAGCTGGGAGGGCAAATGAATGAGGGAAAGAAATCGTATCCATACTGTTCACTTTGCAGCTGTATTTATCTGGCAGTTCAGTTTGTCAGTTCAAGTGGAAAAAAGACCGTTGGTGACGGAGGGGAGCTCTAGGGACAAATTACAATGGGCATTCTGAAAAGACAGTAACTTTTTCTTTTTCTATGGCATTTAAAGCCCAGACTTGAATTCTTTATTCAATTAAAACACCCACTAAGATCAGGCAAAATTTTAACCATGTAGTGCAGGATGCTGATGGCCTTTTTGGGAGGAGAAACTGCTTCCAGGCTCCGGAATTGGGTCTGAGGAGGGGACTGCGGAGGCGAGGTCAGGTTGCTACACTGCAGTCTTGAGAGGCCTGGGGAGAGGACATTTCCCATGCTACTCCTCCAGGAAGCCTGGGGGAGCACAGGGAGGCTGTGGGAAGAGGGAGAGCAGAGCTTAGGGGTTTCCACCAACTTGGAGGCATTTAGATAGGGTTTGGCAGCCCACCTGTGGATTACAGCCGGGGCCCTTGGGAGAGGAGCCTAGAAAGATGAAAGCAGAGCTGGAAGGAGGCCCAGGGAAGCTGGGAGGCCTGGCTGAGGTGGCTCAGCACCCAGGCTGAGCTACAGGGGAGAGCTGAGCTGGGTCCGAGCTGGCTGTACACTTGGCCAGCAGTGTAACCACGGGCCGATTTAACCTTCCTAAGCCACAGTGTTCTCTTCCATAAAATGAAGAGGATAATAGTGCATATGACATAGATTTGTTGAGAGAATTAAATAAGACAGTGTATCTAAGGTGCTTCATGTGGGGTCTGATCCATGGGAAAGGTCCATCATCATCATCACCGTCATCAGCATTATGGTTGCAACAGCACTTGAGTTCTGAGCCTGCGACTCCTGGTACCTGGAAAGCGAAGCTCTCAAATAAAAATGAGGTTAGCAGAAGTCTATATTGACTCTGGGAAACAGGCACTTCTGGGAAGGATGACAGATTGTGGCCTTGTCAAGAGTCTAGCCATATGAGGGAACCAAGGTGCCTCCTGGGAAAGAAAGAACTCACCAGTTTGGGTGAGAGTAGGAGCACCCATGCTTGGCCCAAGGACGAGGTCCAGAGCTGTTGGAAAGGAAGATGGTAGTGAACGTAGGGTAAGGATTTTTACAGCTCACTACCCTTGAACATGTGTAAATTAGAGAGGGTAAGTGTAATGTACTTTGGGATCCCTGCAACAGAGAGGGTTCTCTCTAGTTTGGTGGGCACCATTGCATTGCACGTGGGTGCTATGAGGAGCCACGCACAGTGGTTGGCACCAGGAGCTGCTGTAGAGATGTAACACAAATGGCACCTCATCCAGGCCCGAGGCTCAGACCAAAGTCACCAGAGTTTTCACCAGGGACAGCTCAGCCTTCGTGGCCCAGCAGCAGTGACAGTCCCGCAGACATCAGAGGAATTGGCAAAGGATCCCAGCAGGGAGCCAGAGCAGAAGAAAAGGAAAATGAGGGACATGTACAATGTCTGGGAGCACATGTACAATGTTCCCTGGGCATCCTCAGAAAGACTGGACGAAGTCCTTGGCAGAGGTGGGGGTGCCGGTGGTTCTGGAAGAGCCGATGAAAGCAGAGTGGGAGAGGAACAGGCTGTGCTGTGGTTATGATCCCAGTTTTCCCCTCAGGCTGGTGTGGCCTAGGAAACACACATCGTTCAAGTAAACAAATCATTAGTAGGAGCCTTAAAAGATCAAGTTTGGCCTTGCCTCCTTTTATAAACACCCAGACATGCAAACTGGTGTCATTTTAAGCAGTTTTCTCAAAAGAGCAGGGGTTTTGAAGCTGTGAGTAAGATGCAATAGTGGGTTGGGAAATCAATCTAGGGGATACCAGCTTTGGCCTTGCCTCCTTTTATAAACACCCAGACATGCAAACTGGTGTCATTTTAAGCAGTTTTCTCAAAAGAGCAGAGGTTTTGAAGCTGTGAGTAAGATGCAATAGTGGGTTGGGAAATCAATCTAGGGGATACCAGCAGAACTTTAAAAATATAATTGTTTGAATAAAAAAATTGGAGTGTATTGCACCTATCAGGGTAGCTATTGCCTTTTGAAGCCTTTGTTTCCACCCTGTGTGTGTGTGTGTGCACGGTTGTGATATGAATTGTTTCTTATAATCAGTTTACAAGCGAAAGAAAGAAAAAGAAAAAACTGCATTAGAGGATGCTAATATCTTCTCCTACCTCAGGAGTCTATGAAATGGCAGGAAAATGCTTTTGATTCCAATAAATTTCATTTACTGATTGAGGGCAGCAATTAGACAGACCTGTTGGAATATTGTGTCTATTATTTACTAGCTGTGCAACCTTGGGCAAGTTGCTAAGCTTCTCTGTGCCTCACCTTCCACATTCATAAAGTAGAAATAATAATACTATCTCTGTATAGTTGATATAAGAATTAGTGATGATGCATGTGTAGGGCATGTCACCAAGAAGGCATTCCACTACTGGTAGTCCTGCCAGAATTAAATGGGAGGGGAGCGAGGGCAGTGACAGATCTTTAAGATTGCTTGGAGGTAGTGTGTCACTTAGGACTGTTTGGTAGCAAGTGACAGACATTGACTCTGCCAACTTAAGCACAAAAGGACCTTGTTGCCATGGTGATAGAGTGATTTTTGCAGGATCCAAGGAAGACCAGACCAAGCAAGCATTAAAAATGGAGGAACTTGTGAGTATATTTGAGGATCTAGGTGGCAGGAGCTAGTGGACAATGTCCCCAGGTGAATCCAGTCCAACCAGTTCTCACCCCCCACGTTCCTCCCCAAGGCACAGAGTCTGACAGGCTGAGCTTGGGTCAGGTGCCTGCTCATTTGCCATGGGAAAGCA